ATTAGTTTCAGGTGTACAACATAGTGGTTTGACAATTCTACACATTAGTCAATGCTCACCATGGTAAATGTTGTCGCTATCTGTCACCATACAACATTATTGCAATATTATTGACTATATTCCCTCTGCTGTACTTTTAATCTCCATGACTTATTTATTTTGTAACTGGGAGTTTGTACCTCTTAATCTCCACCTACCCTTTGACAACCACCAATTTTTTCTCTGTATTTAAGGATCTATTTGTTTTTTTATTTGTTTCTTAGAGTCCACATATAAGTGAAATAGATTGATATTTGTCTTTATCTGACTCATTTCACTCAGCATAATACCTTCTAGGTCCATCTATGTTATCACAAATGGCAAGATTTCTTTCTTCTTTTATAGCTAAATGATATTCCATTGTGTATAGGTATATGTCTTCATTATCCATTCATCTATCAATGGATAGTTGGGTTTCTTCCATATCTTGGCTACTGTAAATAATGCTGCAATAAACAGGGGTGCATATATCTTTTTTTAAAAAAACTGATGTTTTCATTTTCAGCTTTGAAGTGTGTTCTTTTTTTTTTTTAATTTTTTTTCAACGTTTTTTATTTTATTTTTGGGACAGAGAGAGACAGAGCATGAACGGGGGAGGGGCAGAGAGAGAGGGAGACACAGAATCGGAAGCAGGCTCCAGGCTCTGAGCCATCAGCCCAGAGCCTGACGCGGGGCTCGAACTCACGGACCGCGAGATCGTGACCTGGCTGAAGTCGGACGCTTAACCGACTGCGCCACCCAGGCACCCCTTGAAGTGTGTTCTACACGGCCTCTCAGAGGGCCCCCAAACAGAGCTGAGCCCCAGTTGCCCACAGCAAAAGCTTATTCATTAATATAGATTTTATTGACTCTTGTCCCTTTCCAGCTTACCTTACTCATGCCTCCTGGAGTCACCTCACAAATGAACCCCCTGCCCCAGTGTTTTCCTCACCTCTGCTTCAGGGGGCCCAAACTAGGAGAACAACTCAAACATTTTCACAGCCCCTCTTTATGGGGCCCATGCCAAGTATGCTTTGACCTTACAACTCATGCTGAAGTTTTTTTCCTGGACTATTATCAGAGAAGATGTCTTTAATTACTATTGTTTTTCATCAATTCATTTAGGACTGTATTGTCAGTGGCCTTAAAAAAGGACAAAAAAGATCCTGTTCTAATTAAACAAATAGTGTATCATTTGAAAGAGTTTGCATATTTTTTCCTTTCCAAGTAATTTGTTTACATTTAAACTGTGCTTATGTAGTGTTGTCTTAATTATCAAGTCATTAAGGACATTGATGTGGTCCTTTAAACCATTTTGTTTTGCTTCGGGGCAGTGACCGTTTCTTATAGATAGAATCAAACTCCACAAGATTAGTAAACACTTTTCTCATCTGATCTGCAAAGAGGGGCACAACCAGTGGGGTTACAGGGTTGGTGGGGGACAGCCCCCATTCCCTGGGCTCTGCAAACAAGGATCAAACAGTAGGTATAGCTATCAGGTATTCTGGATGCCTTGACCTGCAACACAGCCCTTGCCCTCTGATCCCTATGCCTGCTCTAACAGTAATGGTACAGTTAAAAAAAGAGGAAGAAGAGGAAGAAGGAGAAGAAGAAAGCTTTAGCCACCAAGGAATACAGATTTCAATCCTGTCTCCACCACTTGCTAGTATGACCTTCAAATCACTCATTCTTTCTGAGCCTCAGTTTCCCTATCTATTGTATGAGGGTGAGGGCTATTACAGAGTGAGCATGAGGAACATTTGACCCATGTTTATAACAGTCTCATGTTTAGATTTTTTTTATTTTAAATTTATTTACCTAAATTCAAGTTAGTGAACATACAGTGTAGTATCGGTTTCAGGAGTAGAACCCAAAGATTCATCGCTTACATATAACACCCGGTGCTCATCCCAACAAGTGTCCTCCTTAATGCCCATCACTCATTTAACACTTCCTCCGACCCACACCCCCCCCCACTAACCCTCAGTTTGTTCTCTGTATTTAAGAATCTCTAATGGTTTGCCTCCCTCTCTCTTTTTATCTTACTTTTCCTTCTCTTATGTTCATTTGTTTTGTTTCTTAAATTCCACTTATGAGTGAAATCATATGATATTTATCTTTCTCTGACTGACTTATTTCACTTAGCATAATACACTCTAGTTCCATCCACATTGTTGCAAATGGCAAGATTTCATTCTTTTTGATTACCGAGTAGTATTCCATTATATGTATAAATCACATCTTCTTTATTCATTCATCTGCTTTTTACAGTCTTCAAATAAAATCTGTGTATATACATGTGTTTAAATGCACACATAAATACACATATATATTAAGGTTTTTAAAAAATCTACACTTTTATATACTTTTCTGGCATTTCTCTAGTTTTTGACACACTAGCAGCCTTAGATGTATCTTGGGCCTCTCTAGACCCAGACCATGAAGAGAATAAGAACTCCTATATGTCCAACAGTGGCTTTCATCAGGGCACAGTGAGAATTAGAAAACAGGAGACTTGTTCCACACAACCTGCCCTTTCTTTCTTCCCTTTATTTCTTCTTGGCAAGCTTCACATGCAACCCTCCCTGAGCCTTCCCACTATAGCCTTTCTGTAGTCCCTGGAGTCCCCCATACTCTATCTTTCATCTTGTGTCTGGCTGTCAAAACAGGCATTCGTGTGGACTGTCATTCCAGGAACAAATACTTGGTGTGGCTTCAGATTGCTCTCCTTCATGAATTATCTCCATAGGAGGCCCTAACACTCTCTTTCCCGATCACTAGACTAGACCCTGGTTCTCTATCCCTGTTGGATAATATATCCAGCAAAATCACTGGCATACACTACTCAGCCATTGCTGTTTCCCCTTCTTCTGCCTAATATGTTTCTTCTGGTCTCAGATCTCAGGAATCTGGAAGTTTATTCAGTGTTTCGTTTAATTGGAAATAATTAATGTGTGCCTACAAAGTACAGAGAGCACTTGCTAGATTCTAAAATAAGGGAAAAAAAGATGACAGGTTCTAAGAGATTTAAAATGCAGCCACTTGAGGGACACCTGGGTGACTGAGTTGATTGAGCTTCTGACTCTTGGTTTCTGCTCAGGTCATGTTCTCATAGTTTGTGGGATCAAGCCCCATGTTCAGCTCTCTGCTGACACTGCAGAGCCTGCTTGGGATTCTCTCTCTCCCTCTGTCTCTGTTCCTCTCCTGCTCGCTTTCTCTCTCTCTCTCTCAAAATACACAAATAAACATTAGATAGATAGATAGATAGATAGATAGATAGATAGATAGATAGATAGATAAAATGCAGCCACTTGACCTTCTGGGAATTTATAATCTAGCTGAATCTAGTATACAAAGCCTAATGGATCCTCAACAAAAGCTTGTTAAATGAATAAAAGACATCTACAATACAATGAAAAGTTAAAAAAATTTTATGAGGGTTTTGATGAGGTTTGAGATGCTACTGACAGAGACACCTAGGAATGCCCAAATCCTGCCATAGCCTACCTCCCTTCCACACTGTGAGATCCCTGATACAAGGGAAAAGGACAAATAGGAATTAAAGAACTCTGCTATTTTTAATTTCCTGGAAATACGTGTGATTTAATTTCCTGTGAAAGGTTGGTTGATAACCTGATAGAATCATGTGTTCTGGCAGAAGGCCAAATGGGCCTTTGCCATCTTCCTAAACCCAAACCCTAATCTTGGGACTACACCACACTCTGGCTAGAAGCATTGTATAGGGTAGGCACACACTGAGCACCCACAGTGGGGGAGGAGGAAGAGAGAGGGAAGCCGGCCAGACCTGCCAAAGACTGCCTATCCAATTGCTGGTTACGTTTCTAAGATCACTGAAGGGAGACAACACCTATATGTGAAACTAACACACAGTGGCCCTGACTCCTAGCAAACATGGCCCCAGTTTTGCCTCTCTTCCTGCTAGGCTGATGTGAAGCCGTGTCTCCTTACTTGACAAGAAAACGACAGACAGAAAAATGCTCTAAGACTCAAGGAGGAGCAAATCCACTTTGGGCCAGAAGAATAAAAGGGGGAACAGGGTATTATTTGGCAGAGCTGCTCTTGCCTTAAATATGGAAGAGTCTTTCCGTTTCAAGTAAGGTCAACGATAAATCTGCTCCTCCCCAACTCTCACCCCCCTGAACATCCTAGGTTTTCTTACAAGTGGGCTTGCTGTGTATTGCTTAGTATCTCCTACAATCTCAATAAGATGCTTGCTCCAGGAACAACCCAATTCTGTGGTCAATTACCAGCAGGCTGATCCCTCTTCCTAGCATACAGAAGAGAGGAAAGCTACTTGGTTGTCTAATGATATTCTTTTCGCAACTTCTTTCTGGGTATTTTCCATAATTGAATTGTCTGCAAACAAAATAAAAATTGTTGATTCTAATAGTACGTGGCACTTCCTAGACCTTTTGAGTGAAGTGTAACAAAGCACTCGAAACAAATGTTCATTAACTGTGTAGTTCTGGGGACAAGACACTCTACATTTCTTAAATGAAAGAGTGCAAGCAATCTAAAAATGTCTAAGAAATAATGAGTAACTCTTGTTCATGAGGTATTATGGAAAATAGCATTTTGGGACAAAAATTAATTTTACTTTTTAAAAAAATTTTAATGTTTATTTTTTTGAGAGAGAGAGAGAGACAGAGAGCGAGTGAGTGCATGAGTGGGGGAGGTGCTGAGGGAGAGGGAGACAGATTCCGAAGCAGGTTCCAGGCCCCAAGCTGTCAGCACAGAGCCTGATGCAGGGCTCAAACTCCCAAACCACAAGATCATGACCTGAGCCTAAGTCAGACTGAGCCACCCAGGAGCCCCAACAAAAATTAATTTTAAGATGTTCTTTATTTCACTTAGTTAACATATGATAGAGAGAGAAAAGTTATATTTTATGTTAGCTAGAGGAAATAACTTAAATATTTTGTTAACCCAACCCCTTTTATCTATTCTATCCCATTCTGTTACCTGAGTATCTTTCTGCTCCTTGGACCAAGTCTATATCCTGAATGTATGTTGCTTTCTCATCTCTGTCTTTATGGACCTGGAAACAGTGATAAATGTAATACAAATTACAAACCTATTTTTTCCACAGTTATTCAGCTTTTTCTTGTATATTGGGTCACACAATCACAACTCTTGGGTCTTAAAAACTAGGCCAGAATGGTGAAAACAAATCCATGAAATCAAAGATTCTGCATTTGGTTGTGTATTTGTACCTGTCAGTTTTTTGATATCCTATTATGTTGTCCCCTGATTTCAAAAACAATACAGTGTATAGGAAATGGAGAAAAGGGGCATTGGGCCACGGGAATACTCAGATGCTCCAGACTGCTCCAGCTTTCCATTCCTACCTTTAGAATCTCGAAAAATACCCAAAGCCTATTTAATACTCCATATATGTCTGACATGCAAAAGGACCTTGAAGGGTTTTGAAATTTGGATATCTAAAGCACCACACTCTGATGTCCCCCAAAGCTAACAGGAATAGTACACAAACTTTTGCCAGGGATACACTGAACATGATTCTAATCCAGGAAGGCTAGTTAGGCTAGTAATTGACAAATATGAGACGTCTATGCATTTGCTCCAATATTTGACTTACAGGCTGGTACAGTGCACCCCACAGCAGACACTTAAAGTGGGCAGTTTAAATAGCTGTCCACATGATCTAAGGATAATACCGTGCCACAGATTATAGCGGGAAGGCGCCGAGGGGGAGGAAACAAAGTGTTTCACTGGAATAATCCAGACAATCTATGGAGAGAAAATCCACTAGTTGATTACTCAGTTCGTTGATTTGGTTATTGCCATGCTACGCCAAACAAACGGACAAGATCAACAGCAGGCGTGCAGCTAGATTCCAGGATTCAAAGGCAAATGAGTTAAGGCACTTCTTTTCCACAAGCCCAGAATCTAATGGGGTTATCTGTAAAAGAAAGAAAGGAAGGGAAAAGGGAAGGAGATAAGGAAAGAGGAAGAAAGAAAAAGGGAGACAGAAATAGAAGGGGGAGGGAGGGAGATAGAGTCCACTTGGGTAGTTAAGGAAAGAGGAGATGATTATTTTTAAAAGGTTCTACAAAGATGTGTCAGCCTTCATTCACCCAAAAGATAAGGTGATAGAGGCATCTGGGCCATGGAACACTTGGGCAAGATATTTGCATTTTCTATTCTATGAACTAGAAGTTGCTGTCTGAATCTACTTTCTAAGTAATACAAGGAAGGAAGACTGTCAAATTAATATAACATTCCTTAAAAATAGGAAATACATTTTAGGGGCACCTTGGTGGATAAGTGAGTGTCCGACTCTTGATTTTGGCTCAAGTCATGATCTCAGGGTCGTGTGATCAAGCCCCACATCAGGCTCTGTGCTGAGTGTGGGGCCTGCTTAAGATTCCCTCTCTCTCTCTCTCTCTCTCTCTCTCCCTCTCTCTCCCTCTAAAAAGAAAAAGAAAGAAAATACATTTTAATAACCTAGAATATTGGTTCTCAATGTGTGAGCTCCTGACCAGCAGCATGAACACCACCTGGCAACTTGGTAGAAATACAGATTTGTGTCTCTCAGCCATGGATTCAGAAACTCTGAGGCTGAGGCAGCAACATGTATTTGAAGATGCTTTTCAGGGAATTCTGATGCTAAAGCATGAGAACAGCGGCCCCAGAGCAAGCAACTTCAAATCATCCTGTGATATGCTTTCTCCATCTCACCAGCCGAGGTAACTAAAACGTTCCTACGCCTAATTCATAGAAATGTATTCTACTGGTGATTCCTACCATATGATCTCACTCATATGCAGAAATTAGGAAACAAAACAGATGAACATAGGGAAAGGGAAGAAAAAAAAGACAGAGAGGGAGGGAGGCAAAGCAGAAGAGACTCTTAATGATAGAGAACAAACAGGGTTGATGGAGGGAGGTGGGGGGGATGGGCTGATGGGTGTGGGCTAAGGATACTAAGGAGGGCCCTTGTGATGAGCACTGGGTGTTATACGTAAGTGAGGAATCACTGAATTCTACTCCTGAAACGAATACTGTACTGTATATTAACTACCTAGAATTTAAATAAAAAATTGGAGGGAAAAAAAGAGAAATGTATTATACTAGTGATTCCTAAACTTCTGTCCATGCATAGCATTCATACCTGCCTTGACAAAACTTTTCATTGATTCCCAGCAAAATGAGATAAATAAAATAACCAGGAGTTTTTTATGAAGCTAATTCTTTTATTCATTGGATAAATTTAAAGGCCTTTATTGTGAGATTATATTCTTCCTACCTTTTTACTGTTCAATCTTCATTCTTTTTTATGGAATAATGGTATTAAAACAACACTGACTCTTTTTTTTTTTCCAAATAAACTTAATTCACAAAATAGATTGCAGCCAATGTTGGTCTTCAAAATGTTGTTGTTGTTGTTTTTAATGTATTGGTCCAAAAATCCAAACATCTGTAAACCAATGAAATTTAAAGGATATGCATAGCTTTACCAGAAAAAAATGTCATGTGAGTGTATTTTTCTACCTGAAGTCAATAATGTTTTACTAAGATCTATATCTATCTGTATTCCAAAAATGTCTAAATTAAGTTTCAGATTCATAAAACCAAGTTTCAGTGGTACATAAATTTAATAAATGTTCACCATCTCTAATGATTTTTATTCTAGGATTACCATTTTTTTTTTATTAACTGTCATTTGGAGGAGTTCTTATTTGTGAAATACACATGTAACAATATCTCCTCTGGAAATATGTGTGTACAGGGGTATGTGGTAGCTTTTTGAGATCCCCCAAGCACCTTGCTGAGAGAATAGAAAGGGTGAGTAGAGAGAGTATCATAAATAAACTATTATTATTTATAATGTACATTCTTCATTCTCATGCACTAATGCACAATGTTATTTATTAGTGTAATCACTGTTGCAAGAATTGTTATTATTATTTCATGACATAAAACTGAAAATGGAAATTGGAAAATAGGAAGAGAAAAATACATTCTATCTTGAGGACATGTGAGATTTACTATACCTAATCTGCACATAGACAAACCATATTTATTTCTATTACAATACCTTATTCATCAATGTATTAAATCGCCTCCTACTCCAGTAGCCATTGAAGAATTAGACCACCAGAACACAAACCTCTTTCCTTCTTGTCATCTCCCACACCCTTCCCCTCATTTCTAGTCTTATAACCTTCCTAGTCCCACATTTCAACCCATCAAGCCTCAGATAACTGCAAGGCAGAGTCGGCTACTTCTGCAGACCCAAATGGTTCAGGGGTTTCTGGGGATTAAAAAATTCTGAATGCATCAGCTCAGATGTCTCCATCCCAAATTTCAGAGTCCTCCTTCCTCCTACTCGGGGTCTGGGTCTTGACCTGGTGAGGGAAACCTGCTGGGCTGTGAATTCAACCTTCTCTGGAGATCCACAGTTCATATAATTAAATACTGAGCCATCTCTTCAACCTTCCTGCCCTCTGGCTGCAATAGTCAAGAATATACCTACAGGGGCACTTGGGTGGTTCAGTTGGTTTGGCATCTGACTTAGGCTCAGGTCATGATCTCACGGTTCATGAGTTGCAGCCCTGCATTGGGCTCTGTGCTGACAGCTCAGAGCCTGGAGCCTGCTTCGGATTCTATGTCTCCCTCTCTCTGCACCTCCCCTGCTCACACTCTGTCTCTCTGTCTCTCTCAAAAATAAATAAACATAAAAAAAAAAGAGAATATTTATACCTACCAAGGAGGACCTCTAGCCTTCACTAGTCAGTGACTTAAACTGGTCATTGATCATCCTCAGTCTTTCACCAGGGCATCAATAGCCCCCCAGCAAGAGCTATTCAAATACAAGACCTTATCATTAATGCTTTCCCCAAACCCTTCCTGTGCCTGAGCTATTGAACCACCAGTGTTCTCTCTTACCCCTGGCCAAGTTCTAATGATTGCACAATTCCAGCAGGCCAAGGGCTAGCATGACTCCACGTGCCATAGGCAATGGGGCTTTCATTGTTCTCAATTTTCTCAGAGTCTGCTTCTTAGAAACATTTGTGTCTCAACTGGCTTAAGTCAGGTCCCCTAGGAAACAGATGCTGAAACAGCAGATTTCCATGCAGAAAGCATACAGGGAGTGCTCTCCTGAAACATACCTGCAAGGGAGTGAGGAGCAGAAACGGGCAGAGGGAGACATTGTTGGGGGTGGGGGGGAGGGCAGAGACCTTGGCATGTCACACAGGAGCTCTGAAGTTGGGGTCTTAAGAGTTGACCCACCTTTGGGGCAAGGGGATGGGGCCTTTGTACCCCCACATCAACTAGTCATGACAGTGAATGAGGCAGTTCATTTCGGGGGAGAAACTCAACTATGGGCTCTCAGCTGGCAACATTCCTGGCAGCTGGGAGAATGTGTGCCTAGTCCTGAAGGGGGCATATGAGCAGTGCACGTACCCAAGGGTCCACTTCATCCTGGGAATCAAGAACCAGGACGATGCAAATGACAAAGAGGGCCAGCACTTCCCAGCCTGGCATCTGCTGATTTCTGCAGCCTCATCTGCCACAGTGCCTCCACTCAGACTTCTTTAGCCAAACCAGTCTACCAGGGACACCAATACTCCAGGTATTAGTGAACTAAATAATTCACAAACATTACTGCCCCTTAGCCTTGGCTCAAAGCTTACCTCCTGCCTGCTTTCCCTCCTGCCTCCTCACTGATTCTCTTTTGACCCAAGCCCCGCCTTTTCCAGGAAGTCTTACTGGTGGCTTCAGCCCACACTGCCCTCCTGTGAGTTGACGGCTAACACCCTGTACTCATCATGTGAACACTGACAATACCCTGCATCCACAATTCACTATTTTTATGTGCATTTTCCCTGACCTCAACCAGACCTGAAGTTCTGCTCCTGGCTAGGATACAACCTTGTACAGTGAATGAGTATGTCTCTGAGCCTCAGTTACTCTGTTTGTGTTAAGCCTGAAACTTATTAACTTATTACTTTAGTGAATATCTGAGCACCTACTATGTGTTGAGCCTAACAACAGACTGTTTCTTCAAGA